CACACACACACACACACACACACACACACACACACACACACACACACACACACACACACACACACACACACACACACACACAGAATCAGCAAATCAACACATTAATTTGCAAATATACTACAGTAAATATTCTCCAGTAGTAAAAACACACAGCATTACTCATCCATCACATGCTCCACACACACACACACACACACACACACACACACACACACACACACACAGACACACAGACACACACACACACACACACACACACACACACACACACACACACACACACACACGCACGCACGCACGCACGCACGCACGCACGCACGCACGCACACGCACGCACACGCACACGCACACGCACGCACGCGCACACACACGATAATAATGCTTCATATATCATACTAAACACAGTAAAACTTCACATCTCTCGGGTCCGGCTGGTAATTTATCATGTGATCTAATAGTGTGGCATAATGGGAACACAACACACACACACGCGCACGCACGCACACACACTGCATACAGCACTATTACTGCATTGAGTCATATTTCAGGTGGACGCAGTACAGTAAACTCAGAACTCTGCAATCTGAATATCAGTATATTAAAACAGATTAAAGTAAATTAAAGAGTGAAATTAAAATGAACATTTACCAAACACACAGAAGAATTGCAGATAAACAGCAAGAAATATTCAAAAATAACATATATAAAATAGAAATGAAGGTGCAATTTTTAGTGTTTAGTGTTTTCAGTGATGCGGGTGTGAATAATGAGAGGACAGATGTTTAATATGAGTCTGTGCTGAAGGACGACCTTCATTTAAAAGCCTTGCTCTCTCTCTCTCTCTCACACACACACACACACACACACACACACACACACACACACACACACACTCACTTGGCGGTGGTTCGAGTGGATGACCCGTCCTGGAGCACCAGCCCACAGGATGAAGGTCCGGCAGATCTGAATCCACCCAGAAATCAAACTTCTCATGCCAGCCGTCAAAATGAACCTGAGACACGAGGCAAGGCAGGTTTATTTCTATAGCACATCTCACACACAGAGGCAACTCAAAGTGCTTAACATGAACAGGAATAACTGAGAGAAGAGCACAAAATAAAAACAAATATTAATTTTTCAAATTCAGTCAACTTTAATAGGTTTTTAGAGGCAGATTTACTAGTTTATATTAGTTTATATTTTGAAAGTGCTTAGTTTTAGTTTAGTTTTTATTAGTTTCAATATAAACGTGCCTAATAGAATAGTCCCTCCCCTTGTCATTTGATTGACAGGTGTCAGTGTAAATGCATATCTGTCAACCCTCCCGTTTTTCCCGGGATTCTCCTGTATTTTACAGTTCAATCCACTATCATCCCATAAAGGTATTTCCAGTGTTTCTCTGAAGGGTGGCAAATCAACAATAAAGAGCCGAGTCTCCGTATACACAACACATACCGCCGAACCACCAGGGGTCGCCCCTTGCTCTTAAACAAGACTCATTGAGTCTGTTCTGTGCTTTCACTTTGTTTGGGCATGAAAACACTCTGAAATAAAAATAAATATGGCAGGATTCCCTTTCCTTTTCATTACAGGTGCCGTCGCCCCTTCATATGCAATCCTCAATACAGTCATATAATGGTGCGTGACTGTCAGCTGATAACTTCCATAGTGATAAACACACACTGCTTCCTAAACGGATTCTAACTCGCGATTTGAAGCGGAGCAAAAGTCTGGGTTTTGTGTGCGTGTTTAAATAGACTTATACACATAATAATAATAATAATAATATCTAAAAATGTCGATCTTGGTGTTTTTTTTTTCAAACACAACTAATTTTGTCCTAAATCAGCAGAAACAGTTATGCAAGCAACAGAATGCTTTCATTATATTGTTTGATGAGTGCATTTTTAAAGTCACACCTCTGATATTTAATGCATTCAAAAAAACATTTTTAAATTAAATCATTCATTGCTCTTTAATCAGATTGTGCAAGTTATACAGTAAAGAAATGGCATGCAATCCCTTATTATGGTGGCCATATCCCTTATTTTCACATCTCAATGTTGACAGGTGTGTAAATGTCAGTAACTCAAATGCAAAAGAGTTTACATCATTGATTCCCTTTGAGTTGTGGCTGGTTAGATGCACAACACCTGTAAGACATGTGAAACACTTTTGCAAACAACCTTTGCGTTTTCATTTGCGCTGTGTCAGTCACTACACCATCGCCAGAGCGGAAATACAAACGGCAATGCAGGATTGGCCAAAGCATTGATTATGTTATTATGTTAATTTCTGCATCCACATATTGAAAATGGAATTGTGTCTGAAAATAGTCCGTAATCTCCTTCCATATCTGCCCCTATCAGACGGTGTGTGTGATATAAGACGATGATATCAAATGAGACTGTGTGTGTGTGTGTGTGTGTGTGTGTGTGTGTGGTGATTCTGCTCACTTTGACTCGGTGGTCTTCTGTGTCGGTGATGGTGGCCACGCGGATCAGCATCGGGTTTCTTCTGTCCACCGCCTCCAGCTTCTGGAGCGTCTGGAAACCGTGAGCTGATATCTGCAGGAACACACACACACACACACACACACACATACTCAGAACACTGTCTGGACACTTTTGCCACACATACACACACAACACGCATTCACACACACGCATTATACACACAGACCAAAGATTCTTACAGGGATCAGTCAAGTTTGGTGAAGGAGACATCATGGTTTGGGGTCATTCAGTATGGAGAGATCTGCAACATCAACAGCCTGAGGTATCAAGACATCTGTGCTGCCCATTACATTACAAACCACAGGAGAGGGACAATTCTCCAGCAGGATAGCGCTCCTGCTCATACTTCAGCCTCCACATCAAAGATCCTGAAGGTCAAGCTGCTCCAGGATTGGCCAGCCCAGTCACCAGACATCAACATTATTGAGCTGATGAAGGAGGAGGCGTTGAAGATGAACACAAAGAGTCTTGATGAACTCTGGGATCCTGCTGAAGGCTTTCTTCTTCATTCCAGATGACTTTATTAATCAGTGATGTGAGTCATGTAAGAGATGTATGGATGCAGTCCTCCAAGCTCATGATGGAGTCAGACACAATATTCATTCTGTCTCCACTGCAGCAGGACTTTATATTCTATACTGGACATTATTTCTGTTCAGTGATGACACTTTAGTCTGAGCAGAGTCAGAGCGCACTGTCCTCATCAAATCAGTCAACATCAAGACATGATCAGATTTATTGAGCTCAAATCAGCAAAATCTAGAGGCCTTCGCCTTTCATAGAGACACTTCTGACACCAGATCAGCAACTAGAAGAGCAGTTAGTATTTGTGTTCCTAAAACTTGGATAGACGACTAGACTCTTGTCAGGTAGTGTATACAGACACACATGGACACAGACACACACACCTCGCTGAAAGACTCAGCTGGAGCTGCAGACGCACCGCTGTCTCTCATATAATCCTCCCAGATAAAATGCTCTGGATTCGGGTGTCCTGTAAACAAAAACAACAACAACACTCACATCACAAACTAACATCTGTGTGTGTGTGTGTGTGTGTGTGTGTGTGTGTGTGTGTGCGTGTCCACTTACACATAAACTGCAATGCAACACACTGTTCTTCACTATAAGATTAATATAATCGCCCTTTATCATATTAATTTTAGATCCTCTAAGTTAGATTGCAAACATCTCCTGTGGCCTGTTGCTACTGCATTCATTACAACCCTGTATAAACACTCTGATGACAGCGCCCCTACTTCTGTATATGTTTTGATTAAAAATAATCATATTTTTAATATGTTTCAGAATATTAGTAAAGTAAGCATCACATTCTTATGTAGTAAGCGGTATTTTGATGTTTTTTATTTAAATTTAGCCTCTAAAAACACTGAATACACATTGAACATGTGGATTGCTGTAGCAAAGTAACGCTTTACGACTCTGATGAGTGTTTTTGTCACAAATTAATAAACAACTGTTACTCAATAATATCTATACAAAATCAGTCACCATATATGGAAAGTAGACTTTGTAATCTTCCAAATGACGCATGGTTTATCATGATTCCTTTATATTTGGACTAAAACTTTATGGTTGAACGTATTAAACGTATTAAACAGGGAATGTGGCAGAGACTGTTGGTAATCTGAATACCTGATCTCTGCTATGATATAAGAATAATAATTCAATTCAAGTCTAGTTTGTTTGTGTAGTGTTTTTTACAATAATATTGAATAAAGCGAGTGCGTCTGCAGTCCTCTAGGGGTCGCTGTAGATCTGAAACTCACCCTGAGGTGCAGTGAGCGGCCGGCCATGGTCCTGACACCAGCCAACCGGGTGAATATGAGGACTGCTCGCATCACACCTGACAACACACAACACACACTGATGGACTTACAGTTTCACTATTATACACAGAAAGAAAAACTAAGATTGGTACAGATTTTCGGCTCACACACACACACTGTAACATTGTGTGTCATGATTGTGTGATTGTTGTTATCATGTGACTGTGACAATAAGGCACACAATCATGTGGCATAACAACAGACTCGACTGATTGTGTGACATATTATATGATGTATCTGACTGTAAGATCGTGACTTGCGTGATGACTCTGTAAAACGTTTGTTATTGTGGCACAGTTATTGTGATTGTACTTATCTGATTTGGCTGATTGTGTGACTTTTATTGTGACCTATGAGTGATCGCAGCTGTTATTATATGAGGTGTCAGTGGCTGTTATGATGTTGAGTCAGAGCTTCTCCTGCTGGACACACACAGTAACAGCACACTGCATGATGTTATTTCTGTTCAGATCCTTTTATATCCGCTCTGTGAACGGACGCATCTCTCTCTCTCGGTCTGTGTGTGTGGGAAGAGCTCTAATTTTACATCATTTCCCTCTCCTGGGCTTTCATGAGTGAATCCCAGCAGTGATGTGGTGCATTATGTAAAACACAGACACGCATCGTAGTGCACGAGTGGAAGACCGGAATCAATCAATCATTAGAAACACACGTTACATAAGCAGAAGCGGCTCACACACACACACACACACACGATGCTGCAGATATTAATGTGAGCCGGAGAGAGAAATTCAATCACAGCCTCCATTAAACATCAAAGGCACTTTCATTAAATCAGCTCGACTTCAAAGTCACACCTCTACGATTCATCAGACTTGTGCTAATGCTTTATTTGTACCATGATCTACATTCTTTCATCTGCTCTCTTACATTACTGTAATGCATTGAACATTAATATGCATTAGAGCTGCTGCATATTCAGTCCTCGTCAGATTAATAATGTGCATTAAAACTGCACACAGACCAACAGTGTCTACGATATTATTGAGATTTGTTTGCTCTGATATGGTTTTCTGGTTAGTCAGTGTGCTGTAATTCCCGCATCTGCACCCACCAGTAGTCGTAGGTGTCGTCCCAGTTGTCGAAGTGTACGAGGAATCTGCTGTCCACGATGTCTGCGATGGAGGCCACACACACCAGACAGGGGTTTTTACGGTCCACCGCCTCCAGCTTCATGCCCACCGCAAACATCGACTCGCTGGATGCCTGCGGATGAAAACAGCAGAGATGGCGTCTAGAAGATGTGTTCATGTATGCATGCTCACAAAACATCTTAAGAAGGAAAGCAGCTCCGAACTCATGAAAAGAGAGTCTGACGCCGCATTCACACGGGGATTCAGCGTCAACGCTTGACTGAAGCCGTGTCTGAAGTTGGGGCTGACGCGATCGTCATAGCAGCGTCAGCCAATGAAATTCACTCACCAATAAGCCCGTCTAGCTGGTGTATTTGCATACAGCGATCTGATTGGCTGACGCTTACGTCGGTGCTTGAAAAGTTGAGCTAGTCCCAACTTCTGCAGCGAGCAACGCCTCTGAAGCGACGCCGATGGATCCACAGTGCAGTTCGGCAATGAATGGGAAGCGTTGACGCTGACGCCCCGTGTGAGAAATATTTAGCACGTCAGTCCTGAATGTAAGGCTACTAAATCTATCATATTTGCTTCTGTTTAAGTGGGAAAGGTTCTTTAATTTGCACATTTAGCCTATATTTACATTTAGCCTATAGGCTAAAACACTGCTTTTATTTATTTATTTATTTGATTTTGCCTTTCCACAATGAATCCTCATTTCACTTAACACGTTTACAATGATAATAAAGCTTGTTAACAAGTGTTTCATGATTAATGAAGGAATTATAATGCTTTGTCTCATTATTTAATCTTTATTGACAAGCATTGACCTTATTCTCAAATGTGGAAGTGCGCCTGTTTTCGCGATTGTCTTCCAACTTCCGTTTCAGTCGCCTATGGAAGAAATGACAAGGAATAATAAATGGCAAAAAACGGTCAAACTACTTGCTCTACAAACAAATGTTTGCATGACTATACAGACCAAGTAGAATAATATAACAAGGAAATGTCAGATTACAACATCAAACAGCGAAACGAGCAGTTTTTAATGTCTAAAAATGAATGGAAGTGAATGAGACCAGAAGTCTCGTGCCAAAAAGATTCAAATGGCAGCGCCCGCTCGTCTGCGGAGAATAAGGTCAATACTTGTCCATTCGCATCCAGTCCCTTTGTGTCCCCTGGTGGCATAATTGCAAACTGCGGTTATACCTAAAAACACGTGCTAATGCTGTGTTGACAACCAGATGCGGAATGTGCAGATAAATTGCATTATTCGAGTGTAAATGGACGCGTGAACATTTGAGTTTACTCGCTTCATCTGCACGTCAAAATCCACTTAATTCGCGCGTCAAATTTACTTCACAACAGATGTGAAACTTAACCCTGAAGATGGAAGCATTCAGCAGTGCTTCTGACTGAGCCCAGCCCAGTTTGATAAACTGTTGTCAGTGTGTGCTGGAGAATTTCCCCCCAGGACACCAACAACAGGCGCTACGTCATAATCACGCCCCCACAAGAGAAAGCTCCTGGTTGGTTAACATGGCGCGAATGTCCGCTGAAGTTTAGATTTTCCAACTAGAGTGGTTTGCGCCGCGCCATTCGCTTGTCTCGCATCATGTCTATTTGCGCCTTTGCATTGACCTAACATGTTAATCACTCGCGCTTGACGCTCCTTCCGCGTCTGGTGTGAACACAGCATTACTCCTTCAGTGTGGCGGCGGTAAGGGTCACGGCGGTAATGCTCCTTTTATAGTGTCACTCAGTTAATGTAATTCCATGCATTTTTTTGATCTTGGAGGTTATGAAAATAGTTTTCCTTTGATAATATTTACATGCGGTTTAAACCTATACAATAATCAATAAATAACATTTCAATAAAAATGTTTAAACAAAAATGTATAAAACAAATAAATAAAATGCATTAAAATACATTTAAAATAAAATACATTTTAAATAAAAATAAAACAAAACAAACATCCAAACTCACATAAATACAGCCAGTTAAGTATACTTTAAAAAAATTAACATGGTTATTTAGATTTGTATCTATTTTTAGCAATTTTGGTATTTTTTAAGTATATTTTGAATAATTCATTCATTTTCCTTTTGTTTAGTCTCTGTTTCAGTGGTCGCCACAGCCACAGCTATTCCAGCATGTTTCACACAGCGGATGTCCTTCCAGCTGCAACCCAGTACTGGGAAACACCCATCCACACTCATTCACTACGGCCAATTTAGTTGATCAGTTCCCCTATAGCGCATGTGTTTGGACTGTGGGGGAAACCCATGCCAACATGGGAAGAACATGCAAACTCCACACAAAAACGCCAACTGACCCAGTCAGGACTCAAACCAGAGACCTTCTTGCTGTGAGGCCACAGTGTAGACACTGTGAGGACACCGTGCCTACCACTCTGAATAATACATTTCTCTAAATATACATTTGGTAACTAGTTAGTACGTAAATGCGTTAACATCCCAATGTAAAAAACTATTTAATGAAACATCTAAAAGCAAAGAAAATGCCTGAAATACTTCTGATTTTAGCATTTAAAACAAATATAGCCTAAAAAATAAATAACTGTCCGATTCTGCACATCCACTAATGATTTATGAGAAGCACACATGCAAGAGGCTGACAATCAGCTCAACACACACACACAAGAGTTTAATTACTGACATCAGCATGCATCTTAATGTAAATATGGCAACATTATTATTTTAATGTTTGTTTAATAGTTATATAATCTGATTTGTGTGAATGAGAAACGTCAGTGATGAAGGTCAGACTTACGCCGCTTTGGGTTTTGAAGAGGTTCTTTGGTGCAGCTTGAGCATTGCAGGCCTCCAGATATTTCTCCCACTCAAACTCATTAGGCTTGTATCCTGATGATGGGAAATAATTCATTTAAAGGGAGAGTTCATGCAAAACATTAACGTTTACTCAGCATGTTTAAACACTAATAATTCTCTGTTTTTGTTGAAGTGTGTTGGAAATCAGCAGCCACGGACATCCACAGCAGGAACAAGAATAAGTGAACAGTGTCTTTAATAAGAGAAAAGACAAATATCAACTAAGGCTGCGTTCACACCTGTAGATGAATTGTTTTGTTCTGAAAAATGACTACGATGTTGCTCTTTATTCTTGGTGTGGTTCGCTTTCACAGAGTTTCTAACAGACCAAAACAGTTCAAACACCTCCTGGGCAAATAAACTCTCCTCACACTGGTCAGAGTTTCAGGCTTATTGTCCCGCTCAGCTGTCATGCATGCATACTTTGATTTCTGATGATGAGCAAGAAGACATGAGCGAAACACTGCGCTTTAATTTTGAATGCTGACACCCACATGCATCGTCACCAAATATAAAAGCAAGACTTTCTCAAACACAGCTGTTGGCTAGAATCATGCATTATAGGCTTCATACTACAGAGAGAAATGACAGATAAACCAAGACTGCAGTTTGCTCAATTTTCCTAACAGATGAACAGCTCTCGTTAATAGTTCAGCATGCTTTTACTTTCGTTTTCGACATGAAACGCACATTTTCCAATAGGAATGATGACATCCAGCCCTGCTCTGTCATGTCTGATTGGTCTGATGACATTAATCATGTGGGACACCAAAAATCACTGATGTATTCTGATATTCCTGTGCTTAAAAGCACAACTCTTACTGATGAAACCAGGCGTAAGAGAAAGGAAAGGCGTCTCCGGCAGAGGGCGCGGCGAGCCAACAAACCAGCTGGACGAACTCTCTGTGCACCCTTTGATACTTCTAGTGACCCCCTCACTCGTAGTCTAGGTGAACTCCCTACTCGTACTTCTACCGAGCTTGCACACCTAAATCTGGGGCATTACTGTGGGAATTGATATTAAAAAGGCCAAAATGTTGATTTCTATGTACTGGGATGACTATATATCTGTCTCCCTACTGTTCAAGTGATTTAGCATGCTCCTTAAATGTATGAGTTAAGTAGTTTTTGCATGTTGATTTATGAACACTGTCACTGAGACACTGAGAGTATAAAAGCTGACATGTACTCTTCAGCTTTGCGCTTTCTGATTTCTGTATACTGAGAGTCGTAGGCCCTTTATTCTCAACGGAGGAATTTTTTGTTTCTGTTATTTGTCTTTTGTTTATTCTACTTTTTCACTGGGTTTTATTTTATTAATAAAAGTGCATTTTATTACTTTTCTTCACTGGAGTGGACATTGACTTCATTTTCCAGAACCCATCTAAGTTACCCTGTGTGGTAAAGTATGAATCTAATTAGTTCTTTTGCAAAATACACTCTAAAGACGATCCTTTAACTAAACTCTAGCTAAGAAATATAGCGAAGGGAGGATCCTGATTTTATCTTTGTTTAGTTAGGGTGATTAAATAAAGGCGAATCAGCACAGCTCTGGTTTATATATTTATACACAGTTGAAGCCCTCCTGAATTATTTGTCCCCTGTTTATTTTTCCCCCAATTTCTGTTTGTTAGATCATTGGATTATTTTGCTTTCTCATTGCAATTGATCCGCTGCAGAGTTAATTTCAATCGAGCCGAGACTACCTCATTCCGGCTCTCTCCGACTGATTGATTTGGCGCAGATCAGAGCGTGATTGCTGAATTAACGATAATCCAAATATAACTGAAAGGTTATAATCTTTAGATTTAATTAGCTCATTTCATCTGAAACTCTAGCTAGGGCGTGACATTGAATCCTCGTGCTTCCTGAGCGTCGGCTGCACCAAAGAGATGCAAATGCTAAAGGCTGGGTCACAACAACTGTGCCTTTGTCTTTGGGTGTTACTGATTCAAGCTGGTCAGGGCCGGTGAAACCTCAAGACTCTAAAACACAATCTTCAACTAAACTAGCCACGCCCATTTTCTGTGTTTCCAACTAGCCACTCCCCTCCTCCTGAAAGCCTTTATAGACGAGACTCGTTTTAGACTTGCTTACAAACTCGTGATAAAACTTGCAGACATGTCAGAGACTCCTGAAAGGCTCTTGCAGACTTGTGGACTTCTTGAAGGTGCTGACTGAGAGCGGACTAACCAACACGTCTGAATAAAGAAATTCTTCTGCTTGTTCAAGTCTCCTGGACTGACTTCTTGCTCTCTTAATTTATTAATTATTTTACAACAGTTCCCAAACAAATGTCTAAGGGTATTAGACTAATATTAGACTAGATGTTCTTCAAGACACTAGTGTTCAGCTTAAAGTGACATGTAAAGGCTTCACTAGGGTAATTAGGGTAAAGTTAGGGTAATTAGGCAAGTCATTGTATAACAGTGGTTTGTTCTGGAGACAATCCAACACTAATATTGCTGAAGAGGTTAATAATATTGAGCTTAACATGACTTTAACACTATTAAAATCTGCTTTTATTCTAGCCCAAATAAAACACATCAGACTTTCTCCAGAAGAACAGATATTAGAGGAAACACTGTGAACAACTCCTGCAGGGAATTTAAGGGTAATGAATGCAACACTTGAACATGATGAACTAGCGCACCTTTGGGTGGATGAAGCTTGTGTCCTGTGGACTCGCACCAGCCGGCCGGTTTGAGGTCAGGAGAGTCTGCGTTTGCCCAGAAGTCATAGCACTCGGAGTAACCATCGATATGCAGACGCAGACGGAAGCCAATCACCTTCAGGAACACAACAGCACATCAACATCTCCAGTTTGATCACATTAGGCTGTTGCTAGATCGGATACGGCTGCAGCCGGAGGTTAATGAGTATTGTTTCTATTATTTATTAAATTCCCCACTTATTGTATTTTATTAACATCTACGCCCACCACAACCTGAAACCCAACAGTCACAGTAATGTAAAATATGAATTTATGTCATACAGTATCGTAAAACATTGCTGCTATATTAATGTGCATTTCCCAGAGATGGGTTGCGGCTGGAAGGGCATCCGCTGCCTAAAAACGTACTGGATAAGTTGGCGGTTCATTCCACTGTGGCGACCCCAAATTAATAAAGGAACTAAGCCGAAAATAAAATGAATGAATGAATGAATGTGCATATCACACTTCCGGCTGGCTGCATATCCGATCTAGACTTTATCATCACATTAGTTGTCTGCAACATGAGGTCAAATAACCTGCAAAACTCCAACACACATGAAAACCCCACATCATACGCTCAATTTCTGCATCATTTTTAATGCAACTCCACATTAGTGAATCAATGCATTTGGCAGATGCTTTTATCGGTAACACTTTACAATAAGGTTCATTAGTTAATGCATTTACTAACATGAACTAATCATGAACAACACATGTACAGCATTTATTAATCATAATTGAACATTTACTAATGCATTATTAACATCCAAGTTCATGCTTGTTAACATTAGTTAATGCAGCATGAGTTAACATGAACTAACAATGAACTACTGTATTTTCATTAACTAACATGAGCAAATACTGTAGTAAATGTATTGTTCATTGTTTGTTCATGTTAGTAAATGCATTAATTAACATTAACCAATGAACCTTATAGTAAAGTGTGACCCTTTTATCTGATGACATTTATTGAACTCAGCATCTTAAAACATTTTTTAAATTCCAGCCAAACAAAAGTAAACAAGGCTTTCTCTGAAAAACATCACTGGAAAAAATAGCTTGATTATTTAGTCTGTTTATTGCAGTAAGCAATGATGACTTGAGTACATGGCCAGGATAAATAATACAGCATTGTATTTAAGCTAATAAATAATTATAGAGACGTCAGCTTATTTCATGTGAAACTGATCAATGTTCATGATTCAAAAAAAGCATCCCAGTCTAAAGCACAAGTCAAACACCCTGACTTTTCCCTGACTAGCTGCATTTCTGTGAGATGATGAATGGAAAAAAGGCAGTGGTGTGGTGTCAGTGCTCAGAGTGCAATAAAACAACAACAGGTCCAATAGATGAACAAACGTCACCAAACGTCAAAAGAATCATGCAGCCATTGGCTAAATTCTCCATCTGTCAAAGTAGGAAGCACTGACTGACAGATGCAGAACGCCAAAACACTCGACTGCTTTGTTTAGATTTTAGTAACTATAACTTTGACTTGATATTCAGTTTGTGATCTCATTTCCTTTCCAACACTGTAAACTGTGACCTCATCTTGCTCTTTACTACAAAGAGGCCATTTCCGCATTAAGTAACATAGTAAACAATGTAAACAACAGGGGTCTGTTCTTTGTACCTCGCTTAAATGATCCAAGATGATCAGGCAGATCCTGGATCTGTTCATCCTGATAACTGATCTCTGCCTAATTTGGTTCTTCAAACAAGTTCATGAATCAGATTAAACCATCTGGATGAGCTGATGTGTGTGTTGTGAAGGACAGGTCTATATATACTCCAAATCATGATCAGCAATGCAGCGATTGGCTGACGGCACAGCAGCGTAATGACATCATCTGATTAATATTCAATTCTTCATGAATTACATACAATTAATAGGAAATAGTTGGTTAAATATGATATGCAATAACTTTACACCTTTGTTGTGGGCTACAGGCTTTACACTTTCAAGTGCCAAGAGTATTTAGCTCACAGTTAGAGCGGATTTTCTTTTTTAATCGGTGTAAATAACTATATATATATATTGTTAAAAATTATATTTACTATTTTCCCAAGTGTATATAACTCCTACTGTATGAAAGTAAATACTGTAAGAAAACTTTCAGTATTATCTTTGCTTGAATTGAGCCACTCTAATCCTGTTTATATGAAATAAGCTGCTGCTCCTGATCAGGTTTGAGCTCCAGCACTGTTGCTATGACAACAACTCTCGCATGAGTTTTGAAGAACGAAACGATCCTGGATCTGTCAAATCATCAATAAACAAATCCAGCTAACCGAGAAATCCACGCACGAAGAACAGAGCCCTGGTCTCCGGAAGAAACGGTGACATAAACAAACGAGCAACCATTCATATTTCAACACTTGTGTCGGTGGAGTAAATGTGTTTGATGGGATGCTGTTCTGTAAACTCTTACCTTTCAAAATAAACCCTGATGTACAGCAATCAATGCGTGCGCGTGTGTTATTACGATGATATGTACTCCATATATCTAATAGGCGTTTTCTGTTCAACTTACACATACTCAGCAAATACACTCTTTAAAAACTTCCCATTGAAAAACGACTAGCTGCAATCGCTGCGTGAGGGTTGTAGCTTTAGACTGATGTATAGTCTGTCCAGATTACTCCTGTTCTCATTGATGAAATCGATTCATAAACACTGACATGTGGCTGAGAGGTTCAGCAGTACCCAGCCCCAAGCATTAGTAAATGATTGAATTTAATGCAAAATCAAGCAAATATATATATATATACATACACAAACACACACTCACTCGTTCCCATTTTGATATTCCGTGACTTGGAGAAATATTTGAATAATATTCCCTGACTTTGTCTGCAACAGAACTAGGAATATCATGGCCTTTTCAATGACCTGTGGGAACCCTGAAATGAACTGCAATATTCTGCATATGTGTGTGTGTGTGTGTGTGTGTGTGTTTGTGTCTGACCTCG